CTATGGCCAGGGCGTGCCTCTGGAGGCCGACAGCGGTTCCAGCGCCTCGTCGTGTGTTTCTCGGTCGGCGCCATGCCCTCTCCCCTTCTTCCCTTAAATCGGGCGTGTCCCTCTGCAGGGTGACTATTCAAAACTATTCAAATCATACCCGAGAAAACCCCAATCAGGGCTATAGGGCTCGGGGGCTATTGGGCTATTGAGCTATAGGGCTATAGAGCTATAGGGCTATAGAGCTGTAGGGATATAGGGCTGGGCTAATGGGCTATAGGGCTATGATGCTATAGGGCTATATACCCGGGCACGCCCGGGCACCCGGGCACCCGTGCACCCCCGGGCACCCGGGCACCCGGGCGTGCATCGAAAATCGGCGACAAACCTAACTTAAACATATGAATCCGCTAGGACCCCTACAGAGGCAAGCTCTGATTGGGAAATCAGCCTGGCGAAGGACCCAACCATATGCAGTTGTGAGTACCCTCGATGTATGCACCGCATTCGGAGGAGCTTCTGAAAGGGCCACGAAACGTGTGAGGGGTGTGCCAAAAATTGTCCGGTGGGCGCATGCGAAAGCAGTCACTTAAGCCGTCGGTGGAATTACCCACGGGGCCACGAAACGCGTGAGAGGTGTGCCGAAATAGGTGCGGTGGGCGCATGGGAACGAAGCCACTGGGGCCGTGCCGAAATTGGTGCGGTGGGCGCATGCGAACGCAGCTACTGGCGCCTTCGGTGGAGCTTCCTATGGGGCCACGAATCGCGTGAGGGGTGTGCCGAAACGTGCGTGGGTGACGCATGCGGGCGGTGGCACTGGGGACTTCGGTGGAGCTCCCTATGGGGCCACGAAACGTGTGAGGGGTGTGCAGAAAAGGGGGGTGGGTAACGCATGCGGACGGTGGCACTGGGGTCTTCGGTGGAGCTCCCTATGGGGCCACGAAACGGGTGAGGGGTGTACCGAAATTGGGGTGGGTAACGCATGCGGGCGGTGGCACTGGCGCCTTCGGTGGATCTTCCTATGGGGCCACGATTCGCGTGAGGGGTGTGCCGAAACGTGCGTGGGTGACGCATGCGGGCGGTGGCACTGGGAACTTCGGTGGAGCTCCCTATGGGGCCACGAAACGTGTGAGGGGTGTGCAGAAAAGGGGGGTGGGTAACGCATGCGGACGGTGGCACTGGGGTCTTCGGTGGAGCTCCATATGGGGCCAAGGGGTGTACCGAAATTGGGGTGGGTAACGCATGCGGGCGGTGGCACTGGGGCCTTCGGTGGAGCTCCCTATGGGGCCACGAAACGTGTGAAGGGCGTGCCGAAATGGGGGTGGGTAACGCATGTGGGCGGTGGCACTGGGGCCTTCGGCGGAGCTCCCTATGAGGCCACGAAACGTGTGAGGGGTGTGCCGAAATGGGGGTGGGTAACGCATGCGGGCGGTGGCACTGGGGCCTTCCGGTGGAGCTCCCCATGGGGCCACAAACTTTGTGAAGGGCGTGCCGAAATGGGGGTGGGTAACGCACGCGGGCGGTGGCACTGGGGTCTTCGGTGGAGCTCCCAATGGGGCCACGAAACGTGTGAGGGGTGTGCCGAAATGGGGGTGGGTAACGCATGCGGGCGGTGGCACTGGGGCCTTCGGTGGAGCTCTCTATGGGGCCACGAAGCGTGTGAGGGGCGTGCCGAAATGGGGGTGGGTAACGCATGGGGGCGGTGGCACGGGAGCCTTCGGTGGAGCTCTCTATGGGGCCACGAAACGCTGTACTGAGTGGGTGAAACGCAGGGAGGAGGGAGGAGGTGGGACGAGGAGGAAGGATGGAACGCGGGGACCGTCTCTTCAAAAAGCGGACCCAACACCACAGGATGCTTGGGAAAAATAGTGCGGGGGCGGTTTTTTTCTTGGTGTGACAATTAACATGTTTGGGGTATCGATTTTTCCGTTCCAAATCCGCGTGTAGGGGGACACGCCCGACTTCATCCTACCCCCGTGTGCGCGCCGCCAGACAACCCTGAAATCCTGGCGTTCTATTTTTTTCCGAGCCGGGCGTCTTCGTCAGGTTTCGAGCCTTGGTACCCTCACAGGTCGACGTGGCTCGAACGTTCGCGCAGGAAGATGGGGTCAGGAGCTCCAGTCGTGATTGTTTACGATGTTCCAATTCTTCCGCGCCGTCGGATCTCAGGGTACCCATGGGGGGGACGGAGGGTGCTGTGGCTGCGTGTTGTCGGATGGGGCCCCCGCTCGAACGGGAGCCTCTTCCAGAATCCATACCCAGCCAATCCTTCTCCCAGCTCCCCTATGGTGTTCGGTTGTCATCATGGGATCCTTCTGTCCCCTAGCAGCTACGTCTGAAGAGTGCACCAGCATCGAGTAACTAGCGTCTGGGGTTCCTAAGAGAGTGCTGATCTAGCGCCGAGTAGTGTCGATTAGCGCCCTTAGCGTCGACCAGCGTCGATTCGCAAGAGCCAACCAGATGGTGTGGGCGACTCTCACGAGTTGCCGCAAAAAGCGCAAAAAGAGCCTGGGCCCTCGAAGCTCGAGCCACGAATCTCGATCCCCCGTCTCCGGCGTCCTCCCTGAGATCCGGGCGTTGCATTTTTTCATTATGGGCGGTTTCTCTTGGTTCCAGTTTCTGGGATATACTCACAGATCGATGCGGCTCGAAAAATGCCACATCAAGATTCGGTCTAGGGCTCTGGTCATTGATTTCTCACCACGTTGCAATGTTTTCGCAACGTCGGATCTCCAGGGCACTCGATCCTCGATCTCCATCCTCTGGTAAGGCTTCGGGCTGCGCGCATCCCAGCCAGTCTCAACTGGCCCCCCGAGTAGTCCAGGGAGGTCTCAGCACCTCGACCCTAGGGCGCGGGGCGCCCAAGGGGGCGCCGCCGGAGGCGGCGCCAGGGTGTTGAGACCGCCCTGGATTACCCGCGGGGGGCCTGTTGAGGCCAGCTTGGACTGCTCGGGGGGCCTGTTGAGGCCAGCCGGGACTACTGTTTACCTGGGGGGGCTGTCTGTGCGCAGCCCAGAGCCTTGGCATGCCCTGCGGCCTCTCGATCTTCATCCGTCGTCCTCTAGCCGTGCTAGATCCTCGGTCCTTAATCTCAATCTACCTTGGCCTTCCAAATGTGATCCGAGTAGACTGGGTCGGAGGGTCGTACCGCGTCGCTGATGCATCGGCGATGTGGCTCGATGTGGAACCCGATGTTCTCCATGCCGACGGCGCCGGTGGGTGCATCGACGATGCACCGCCGATACATCGCCGATGTATTGGCGATGCATCGGCGATGCTGAACCCACCTACCGACCCCACCCATCCTCGAGCCTGCGCGATCCGCGCTGGACCCCCCCTGCCTGGGACGGCGGCGCGGAGGTTCCAGCGCCGATCCGAGAAATCTGCGCCTCGGACAGAGAGAGAGCGAGAGAGCATGAGAAGAGCCGTGCGTCGCAATTGGCAAATACGACAAATCCTCCGAAACAAGAAGACGCCATCCGTGCGCGGATCCGCGGCTGTTGATGGCCACGCTTGTGCCCCTCGTCCCTCGACGCCCATCCCCTACAGCCTCGAGGAGGAGGAGGAGGAGGAGGAAGAGGGCGGTGGAGGAGAAGGATGATGATGATGATGATGATGATGATGATGATGATGATGATGATGATGATGATGATGATGATGATGATGATGATGATGCTGATGCTGATGCTGATGCTGATGCTGATGCTGATGCTGATGCTGATGATGATGATGATGATGATGATGATGATGATGATGATGATGATGATGATTGATGATGATGATGATGATGATGATGATGATGAGAGGAGGAGGAGGAGGAGGAGGAGGAGGAGGAGGAGGAGGAGGAGGAGGAGGAGACGGAGGAGAAGGAGGAGGAGGAGGAGGAGAAGGACGAGGAGGAGAGGGACCTCGATCGCCTCGGTCTCCATACCCCCCAGCCCCCGCGCTGTATCTGGCGTCCCACCGAGACTCGCGCACCCGGGCGCCCCGTCCCGCTTGTTGGCATGCCGTACAGTCAGTGTGCATGTGTGTGTGCCTTCGTATGGCCTGGGCTTCGAGGGGAAGGAAAATGAGGAGGAGGAGGAGGAGAAGGAGGAGGAGGAGGAGGAGGAGGAGGAGAGGAGGAGGAGGAGGAGGAATAGGAGGAGTAGGAGGAGGGCGGAGGAGAGGGGAGGAGGAGGAGGAGGAGGAGGAGGAGGAGGAGGAGAGGAGGAGGGAGGGAGGAGGAGGCGCAGGAGGAGGCGCAGAAGGAGCTGGACGAGGAAGAGGAGGAGGAGGAGGAGGAGGGGGAGGAGGAGGAGGAGACGGAGGCGCAGGAGGAGGAGGAGGAGGAGGAGGAGGAGGTGCAGGAGGAGGAGGAGGGAGGAGGAGGAGGAGGAGGCGGAGGCGGAGAAGGGCGGGGTGGAGGCACCGCGGCAGCACGCGACAGGACTACAGTGGATTCCCATGCCAAGAAACGCCCTGCTCGCCTCCGGGGTGCCCTGGGCTTCGCGGGTGCCGATCTTCCTGCAATGGAACGCGTGGCGCTCCCACACCAAAGGCCTCAGGGTCGGGTTCCTCGTGGAAGGTCTCTTGTGGTCGAGCCCCTGCTGCAGTGCCAGTCTGCTGGCGCTCGTGGCCTCCGCTTCCGGCGCGCCGCTCCCCGCTGGATCTTGCAGGATTTTTTGGGGCCAGGGGCGCCTCGACCCGGGCTAGCGCGCAGGATCCCACAGGGTCCTGCGAAGCCCGACTGGCCCGGGCTTGCAGTGGCCTGGGTCAGTAAATCACCGCGGCCAGCAACGAGAGGACGCTGTCGTCGTCGTCGTCGTCGTCGTCGTCGTCGTCGTCGTCGTCGTCGTCGTCCGTCGTCGTCGTCCATCGTCGTCGTCCGTCGTCCGTCGTCGTCGTCGTGGTCGTCGTCGTCGTCGTGGTCGTCGTCGTCGTCCGCCGTCGTCGTCGTCGTCGTCGTCGTCGCCGTCGTGGTCGTCGCCGTCGTCGTCGTCGCCGTCCCCCGCGGCCTGCGTCTCCCCGAGGCCCACGCCCCTGCCCACCACCGAAAACCCGTTCAGTGCCCTGAAGCAGGCGCGCCGCTCGGCGCCGTCGGGGTCGTCTCGCCCTCGACCGCCGCGACGACGGAAAGGACAGCGACGACGACGACGACGACGACGACGACGGCGACGACGACGACGACGGACGTCAACGACGACGACGGGGGACGACGACGACGACGACGACGACGAAGGACGGGGACGGCGACGACGAACGACGACGACCACGGCGACGACGACGACGCGCGATGACGGACGACGACGACGACGACGACGACGACGACCACGACGGACCAGGAACGACGGCGACACAAGATGGCGATGACGACGACGACGACGACGACGACAACGGCGACGGCGACGGCGACGACGGACAACGACGTCGAAGACGGCGGTGGCAGCGGCGACGACGACGTCGGAAGACGATGACGACGAAGACGACGAACACGACAACGATGGATGACGACGACCACAGACGACGCAGGCGGACGACGACGACGACGAAGACGATAGCGACGGCGACGGCGACGGGACTGCGACGGCACGACGGGCGACGACGACGACGACGACGGACGACGACGAAGACTGCGACGTCGACGGCGGCGGTGGCGGTGGCGGCGGAGGACGACGACGGAAGACGACGCCGACGACGACGGTGACGACGACGACCACGACGACGACGGACGACGACGACGACGACGACGACGACGACGACGACGACGACGACGGCGGTTGCGGCGGCCGTGGCGGCGACGACGACGACGACGACGACGGCGGCGACGACGACGACGACGACGACGGATGACGACGAAGACGACGACGACGACGACGACGACGGCGACGGCGACGGCGAAGGCGACGGCGACTACCACGACCACGACGACGACGACGACGACGGACGACGACCTCGACGACGAACGACGACGTCAGAAGACGTCGACGAACGACGACGACGACGACGACGTCAGTAGACGACGTTGTCTCACTCTTGGCCGCCACTGCCGCTGCCGACGTCTTCGGGTGGGCGTTCGAGGTTTTTGGAAGTTTTCGTCGGGCCTCGACGGGTTTCCAGCCTCGCTGGGCACTTCCAGCGGCTGCGCCTTGCCCAGGGCATTCCAGGAGCGCCCTGCTCGTCCCGAGCGGCTGATGGAGAGCTGGGGCAGGCGTCCTGAAGCAGGCGCACCGCTCGGGGCCGAGCTGCGCCGCCAGCGGTCGACGGCTTGGCGCCGTCGGGATCGCCTCGCGCTCGACCGCCACGACGACGCTGACGCCGCCCCGCCACGAGGAGGAGGAGGAGGAGGAGGAGGAGGAGGAGGAGGAGGAGGGACGAGGGACGAGGGACGAGGAGGAGGAGGAGGGAGGAGGCGCACCGCTCGGGGCCGAGCTGCGCCGCCAGCGGTCGACGGCTTGGCGCCGTCGGGATCGCCTCGCGCTCGACCGCCACGACGACGCTCGGGATCGCCTCGCGCTCGACCGCCACGACGACGCTGACGCCGCCCCGCCACGAGGAGGAGGAGGAGGAGGAGGAGGAGGAGGAGGAGGGGGACGAGGACGAGGACGAGGAGGAGGAGGAGGAGGAGGGAGGAAGGAGAGGAGGAGGAGGAGGGAGGAGGAGGAGGAGGAGGCGGAGGAGGAGGAGAGGAGGAGGAGGAGGAGGAGGAGGAGGAGGGAGGGAGGAGGAGGAGGAGGAGAGGCAGGAGGAGGAGGAGGGATGAGGAGGAGGAGGCGGAGGAGGAGGAGGAGGAGGGGAGGACCGAGGAGGAGGAAGACGAGGAGGTGAGGAGGAGGAGGAGGAGAGGAGGAGGAGGAGGAGGAGGAGGAGGAGGAGGAGGGAGAGGAGGAGGAGGAGGGAGGAGGGAGGAGGGAAGGAGAGGAGGAGGGAGGGAGGGAGGAGGGAGGAGGGAGGAGGGAGGAGGGAGGAGGGAGGAGGGAGGAGGAGGAGGGAGGAGGGAGGAGGGAGGAAGGAGGAGGAGGGAGAGCGAGGAGGAGGAGGAGGAGGAGGAGGAGGAGGAGGAAGGAGGAGGAGGAGGGAGGAGGGAGGAGGGAGGGGAGGAGGGAGGAGGGAGGAGGGAGGAGGGAGGAGGGAGGAGGGAGGGGGGAGGAGGGAGGAGGGAGGAGGGAGGAGGAGGAGGAGGAGGAGGAGGAGCAGGGAAGAGGGAGGAGGGAGCAGGGACGAGGAAGAGGGAGGAGAAGCCGAATCATGGCCCGAAGCCCAGCGTCACCCGAGTCTGTGGCCCTGCCGAGGGAGTTCGAAGGAGGCACACTTGCGCAAGCGTGGGCTTTCGGAGACCCGCGCGGTTCTTTCTCGGAGGGGCTCCGTGCCGCCCCCCCAGGAGCGGCGCATATCCGGCGCCGCCCCTGGCGTGGATTCCGCGCCAGGGAGGGGGCCCAGCGCAGAGCCAAGACATCCGCGCGCACCTTCCAACGTTCTTGTGTCTCCGTCTAGACGAGAGCAGCTTGCATGGTAGCGGTTGTTGGGCAGAAGTGCCAGCTGCAGACAGCCTCTACCTGCCCCTGCCCTGACCCCCCTTGCCTCTCCCTCGTCCTTCTTCCCCCGCAGCACCGCTCGAGTCCGGCCAGGCGGGGAGGCGCTTGTGTGCGATGGTGGGCCTCGGGCGGACAAGAAAGTGCACTGGCGCTCAGTGTCGGTGACCCGTCCTGCATTTTGAGGCTGCTCTCTTCCGGATCATGTGCAACGCATGGCATCCTCATCGAGAGGGGAGCGGCGGCGCCAGTGTGAAGTCGGGCCTGTCCCTCTACAGGAGACATGCCAAAATAGTCAAAAATTGGTCTGGGGGTGATTTATTTGTTTAGACCATTTTGGGATGTTTATTTTTTCATGTGCTTGAGTATTTTCGATTTTTCGCCCAAAATCCCCGGTAGGTGGACATGCCCGACCTGATGCCAGTGGCAGTGCCAAAGTTCGCCCAGAGCCCCAGCAAGGCACGAGTGAGAGTGCAACAATCCGACCCTTGTCTGGAGGATGCTGTGGGGGGTGGCGGCCTGCGCTCAGGGGAGGCTGCAGCACGGCGCAACCGAGTGTTGTCAAGAAACCTGCAGGGAGGAACCTTCTCCGAGTTTCTCAGAATTGCACCAGGTTTGATCGATAAGGAGATCGACCGGGAACCCGGGAACCCGGAATCCACTGAAATCGGCCCGGAACCAATAATTAACCAGGAACCCAGAACAAGGAAGCCGGGAACCCAGCCGGCCACCAACATCGGCGGGACACTTTCGCCAAATTTTTCAATTTTCGCTGAGACCCCTTCAGTGCAAGCACTGATTGGGGAATAAGCGTCTGGGGGGCGTCACCCCCGCCGACAGCCCCACATCGACCCCCGTCGCGGGCAGCCACCGCGCGCCGAAGGCGCTCCGACCCCCGTCGCGGCGCGACGACGAGGCGAGGTTCCCCCCCGTCGGGAGGGTTCCCCCCCCACGCTTATTAAGAAACCCATAGTTTCTATTTGTCTGTGCACGTCAGCTTTGGCTTCGGAATTCAGCCGTGGATGCACCGTGAAGCGTCTTCGGGCCAGCTCGCCCGAGTCGGTTTTCCGCTCGCGTGGGTGCCCCCCTCGGTTCACCCGGCGTCGTTGTCTTCGCCGCCGCCGTTGTTGTCGTCGACGTCGCCGTCCGCGTCGCGGCCGCCGACGCCGCCGCCTGGGGAGCAGGGCGGCGGCGGAAGCGGGACGCTAAGGAGGAGGGAGGTTGGCAGCAGGCGGGGGAGTGAGCGGGCGGGGGCAGAGGAGGAGCACTTGAGGCACCGCATGCCTCCAAGCTCACCTCTCAGAGCTCGCTGCGAGCGGGCCTCGAGTGCGGGCCTGGCCTGTGCTGCCTGGTGCAGAGCGCGGTGGAGGGCCGCGCGCTCGCTTTGGTCGGTGGGTTTCCGAGGGAACCTCCTCAGAGTCGTGATATCGTCACGAGGCAAGCACTGCTTGCCTGGCCGAACGTCAGGGGACTCCGTGATCTCATTCGCATTCATTCATTCATTCATCCATCCATTCATTCTTTCTTCATCCCATAAGAGCCGTGCAGTGGGGACGCGCACCAAGAAACCGGACGCTGCTCGTCAGGATTATCAGGGTTTCTTTGTTTCCAGCGATGCGTTGTGATTGCCCCAGATCGTTAAGAAATTGTTGCGCCCAGGGTGCCCCAGGTTTCTCTCCAATCGAACCTTGCGCTTGCAGTGGCCCGCCACCAAAGGAACCTGTGTTGAAAAGGTAAGTCGGGTTTCGTGCATCCGTGCGGCTTACGGTCGCAGATGTCCCAAGGGGCGCGCAATAACTTCATCTCGCCAGGGCACCCTGTGTTTCTTGAAGCCTCGATGTATTGAGTCGCACCCGGCGCATCGCATGGATTGCACCGCACCTGTGGTTACCTGCGAATTTTCCCAGCGCGACCTGGGAAGAATCTTCTCTGGTCGGAGTGCGGTTGGCTGCGGCCCTTTGGATCCCAGGCCCATGCTGTGGGCAAGACACCTTGCAGATTTTCAGGCTGGGTTTCTTGCGAGGCTTTCTGTGAACGTGTCGTTAGGGCTCGAGCTATGAACGGTGTTTTTGCGATGTCGTGGACGGGTTTCGTGTTGATTCCCGTGTCCCAGCAGAGACAGATGGAATACAAAACGCAGGGAAACGGAAACAATACAAAACCGAAAAGCACTGCCTGGCTCGAGCCCTTCGTGTCGTCGAGAATGCTCTAAAGTTCGTGCCCGGCCCCAAACCTCCGGGGCTGGCCTTTATTCTGTCCCGAGCCGCGCTCTTTGACGAGCCCAGGGCGCGCGAGGCATGCCTCTTCTGTAGGCGACCCGCAGTTGTGGTGTATCTATTTGTGAAGGTGCCGCAGGCAGAGGAACCTCCCAATCCCCCAGGATCCCCGAGGACCCTCCTCCTCCTCCTCCTCCTCCTCCTCCTCCTCCTTGTGGAGCACGTTGAGCAACTGGTTCAGAATGCAGATACTCTTGAAGCTGCTTGGAGTAAATTGATTACTTTACTGCAGGACGCTGGCTTTGAGCCGCTCGAAGTTACGCCGAAAGACGTG